TCCACCATAACCTCAATAATTCCTCTAGGAGCTGCTTTGGATTCCTGAAGTGATAGACATGTTACCATAAGGTGAGGCAAAAGAAAAAAGAAAAAGATGTCTAGGCTATCTTTAAAGAACATTTTATTGAGGATTAGAATTGATATAGTAATACTACCACTGCTAAACCCTACTGAACTACATGAGTCTGAGACTGGGTTTTGAAAAGTAGGAATAGATTTATTTTTTGATTTTTTGACATAGGTACTTTCCACTTTTTTCTGAAAAACACACTATCCATGCATCTGCAAAAATGTATTGTGAACATTCAAAACAATATATAAATAAAAAAAGAGACCAGTAAGTAAAATGAAAAAATAAAACAATTTAAAAAAATTTCATTGCCTTGATATCCCAAAGTTTCATATGGTATTAAAATGTATCAACATTGGATTACATTTGGGCTTGCATCATAGAATTCTATGTTACTTACTAAAGTGGTTTTCGTTTTGTTTTACTTGTGGCTCTTGCTATAAAATTTTCTTTTCTTGGTCATGGCTGAAAAATAAATTTCCTTGAACAATTTAAGTAACTCTACCTATCTGTTTTTGAATTGAATATTGGCTCAGGGATTTAGAATATGAATGCATTGTTTTTGTTTTTGTTTTTGTTGGCACATATAATCCCTAACTGTATGAATTTAAAGGCTAAAATTTTTCATGACTGTAGCTGGGTTTTATGGGGGAGGAATTTTTAACATTACTTAGAAAAAGACAGAATTTGCAAATTCACAGGACTGGATGAACATAAAGTCTTGTTAATTTAAATGAGTATTACTAAATCTAACTAATAAAAGCCCACTACATTATGCATATACATATATATACATATATATGTATTCATTTAAAAAATGTACTGATCTTGATGATTTTAGAGCTGTGATTAGTTTTCCAAAGAAATTTAGAGATAATTCCATCAACAGGATCTTTGCTTGATTTGAAATAGAACAAATATTCTGGAAGGCACTTAATACCTTGTAAAGTACAAAAATATAAGCAATTTATAATGTGATACCTTATACATGTGATCTAATTTGAACTAGAGTCTCATATTCTGAGGTTTGAAATATTTGTTCATTGAGTTTTATCCATAGATAGATCTAATAATGAGAATGTAATCAGAACTGCTATTTTTAAATGGTCAGTGTCATAAGTTCTTGATTATTATGGGGCAAAAATATCTGGCTTAATCATTTGTATGTTGAAGTGTGATGCCATAGTCCCAGCGTTTGATAGGAACTTGGACTTGTTTTTCTGTGGTCTGGTTAATTTCCCAGTCAATCGCGTCCGTATCCCAGTCCTGGTGACCAAAGGCATACAACTGTAGCACTGCTGGGTGGTTAGGGCCTGTCGGAAGAGTTTATGTTCGTAATTTTTCCCTGGAAATTTCAGTGGACTGTTTGGGAGTTAGCATGTGATTTTTATTTGATTCCAGGGCCTTCATTCTTAACCAAGTTTGCTGGTTCATTTAAAGCAAACAAAAGGCCTTTAATTCTCTATTTGTTCTACATCTCTGCGTGTATTATTTCTTAGAACCTCTTGGTAAACAAGCCTATCATTGACAGTTGTAGGACTTTTTTGTGGTTAGATGAGTGATCTATAAACATTTTTTAGTTTTCCCTCCTTCTCTAATCTGAAAGGAAGGCTGCCTCTTCTGGATTGTGTGGGACCATCTCTCTCTAAAGCTCCAGAGTAATAACACATCAGTAAACTAGTCTTTTTAATGGAAATAGGCACATGTAAGTAAAATAGGAAAAACTGTTGTTATTAAGGATTTAAATGCGCTCCCAGGGATGCTCTGGTAAGGCTCAGTGTTGTTGCTGTGATCTTAAAAGTGTAAAGACAATCTGAATCCTGGAGCAGAGTGCATAATAGCTTTAGATAGTTAAGCTGCTCCAAGAAAAAAAAAAACTTTAAAGGGCAAAATAACATAGTAATAAAAATTTGTTGGCATGCTTTTTTTTTTTTTTCTTTTTCTTTTTAGCGGGTCAGTTGTAATAGAATTCTGAGCTGCTTGATCTCAGTCAAGTGGGAAAGAAACCCAGGGCAGCATATATCCTTAAAAATGTTAGTGTCTAGAAGTGTATAATAAAGGCATGGCTTGTAATTCTGATTTGGTTCAGGTATAAACTGTTTCTCTTTGAGTATTACCTGTGTTTCCAGAAGTTTAAAGTCTGTCAGTATATATTTACCAGACTTTATGAATTAGATTTTTTTCCTCCTTTGTCTTTCATTCTAAATTAGATAATGTAGAAAAATTGGTCCAATATTCTCAACTAGAATATTACATCTCCGTTTCCTGTTTACTTACTTGTGCAAAGAAAGCAGAGCTGGTATTCAAACTTAAATGATGTTTTTGGATGATATGATGGGGGTGAAGTAATTTGCTTGGCATACTCCTTGTACTTTTGCTCTTTTACTGAAATATAATAGAATTTAATTCTTCATTGACTGCATTTTCTGAGAATTGCATATCCTTGCATTAAAATTGACATGGAAAAAGGAGTATTAAAGTTTTACTCAGCAGGTAGAACCGAAATAGAAATTATTATTTGGAAAGGCAACAGTGTTTAAAACTGATCAGATATTTAAGCTAGAAAGTGAGGAGGAAATGGAGTGATATAAGAATATTTTCGTAAATTCCTAGTGTGTGAGAGAATTAAAGGTTCTGTTATTCATTCAGCCTGTATGGAAATTAGAACTATTAAAAATGTAGACTTGCCTTTCAGAAGAATTACATTTTTATCAACTGGAATTTCATGTACTAAGCAGCACTATTTGGCTGAGTTCATCTGACTGATTTTCCTTTAGCATCAAGCAAAATTATTAATACTTACAGTATGAGGGTAATTATTTCCTATGATTGCCTTTTAAAGGGGTGGATCCTCGTAGCTGGTGAGTTCTTTACAGCGGTGGGGGAAGATGAAGTGTTAGTGTGGTTGGTTAGGAGTTGAGGTATTGAACATTGAAGACTGCAACAGAGGAAAATTGCTCTGCAGAATCCAAGGGAGATTTGTAGGTTTGTGGAAATATCCTCCCGAAGCTGCAAAATAGACGCCACAGCCAGTATTTTGGGGGAACAGAACGAAGGAGAATTTCGGGTTGGTGGAGTGGTGCAGGAGAATGAAGAGAGCCCACTGGAGCTGAGCTGAGCATATACCATCTACCTGTGTCATGTCAATTCCAGGTTCCTCAGGAAGGTGTCTGCTGTGAGCAGAGTAGATTATTTTGGGATGAACATAAAAAAGTCAATGTTGTACTTATTGGTAGAATAAGCACCATGCTGTGCATAAGCCTTCCCCCCCTTATCCTATCTGCCTTCCTGCCTTCCTGCGATAACACATGCACACACTGGGGGCATTGACTGGCAGGGGATCCAGACAGCTTGGAAGATACCATGTGAGCAGTAATTTTCAGGTTTCTAGAATCATTTTGCTCAAAGTATTTTATAGACACACTGACCTGCCAAGTTAGATTCTACAAAGAGTTAAATGTGTTGTGAATCTCATTTGACGTACAATGAAGAAAAGATATCAAACACTGAGGTCATTGATAGTTATCTGAATGACATTATGATTTTTACCACTCTATCAGTGTCAGTAATAGTCAAAGCGGTAGCCGTCTGTGACTGTTCACTTGTTACTTCCCAGGTATTGCCCATTAAACTTTACAGGTATCAAACTGTTTAGTCTTTCCCATCCCTCTTATTGTTACGTTGGTTCAGCGTGGAGAACCTGTGCTCCCTGGTGTGTCAGAGGCAGGCAGTGTGAATTCATATGTTGTCTCTGTCACTAACTAGGTGACTCACCTGGACAAGTTACCCAACTCCTGCATCCCTCCAGTATTCCCTTCAGGAGTAACTCCTGGAGTTGCCACGAGGGTCAAATGGATGTAGTTAATATAGGCAGGAATGCCTGGACAGAGTAAACATTATAGATTTTTTTTCCATTTTGATGATTATTCCTGGTCTTTTTACTCAGTTGTTGTTTTTCCTGGTGAGGCTAGAAGCCCTGCCAGAGGCTGGCGGTGTGCGTGTCATCTCCTGTGTCGTCTCTCGCGGCACGCCTGACACAAAGTAAACAGATTCGAGAGATTTTTGTGGAATATGTAAGTTAATGAATTGATTATGATTGACTATCCTGGCATCAAAGTAGGTATTTAAATGTATTTTACTATTTGTCTAAAAATTATATTCCTATTGATCTTGTTGGAAAAAAAACCTTGTAGCAGTTTGTCTTTCCTGAATTTGTTTGGCCTTTTCACATGCATTTTGTTAAATCTAATTGCTAAAATCATCAAAAACAATTTAAACACATGGGATGCCTTTTAGATGTTATGAAATATTGCTCCAAGTATAATTTTTCCCCCTGAGTATAATTTTAGCATAGATGCAAACCCAAACAAACACTTTTGTGGTTAGGTTTTGAAATTTTTGTTGCCCTAAATTATTTTATTTTCCTTTATTAAACAGAGGAGACTGTAGAAAAGAATGCTTCCTTTGCTTGTATGTGCCATATTTTTTGATGAACCGATATATTTGGTAATAAAATGTCTTATATGTAATAACAGTGCAGGAAGTACATTCCTGTCTTGCAAACAGTATTTTTCAGAATTGGTGAAACGAACGGGCTAGTTTTTGGTGTGTTGTCTAAACAGTTGAGCAGGTCATGTAACACTTAAAAACAATTATTTAGCTGGGAACAGACTTTTTTCCCCCCCCCCTGGAAGATTGTTAGCCTTTAGGCTCACCAAATGTATAACAAGAGGAAAAAGATTTGTAAGACTCAGAAAGCTCCTTGTAGTTGCCCTCACTGACGTGTTCTTAGGGTTAGAGTGAATTAGCAGGTTGTACCTCACTGATTTTGTGTAACTTATAACTTATTTTATTAATAAATCCCAGTGGTACTTTTCAGATTAATATGTTTTTGGATAATGTGTATTTTTTTTCCCTATCTATCTTAGGCACTGAAGAAGCAAGAAGTTAAAGCAGATGAGAATGAAGACGTAATTAAAAATAAGCTAAGACAAACTGAAAATGAGAAGAGTCAAGTAAGATTTTGAAAGTTTTCTGCCAAAGGATAGTGGGGGGCAAGTGATACTTGTTGAGTGGCTTGAGAACTGTGAGACTCCTCCAACAAGGCAGATCTTTGGGTTTGGATTTGGAGGCACTCGCTAGGATGGCTTTGATACCCCGCTTGCTATTGAAACATGCATGCTAACAGGTTCCTTGTTGCTTTGTCATCTGTGGTCACTTTGATTTTTCAAAAGACAAACTTGAGCTTTCTTTGCAGTGGAACATTTCAACAACTTGACTTTATTGCATGCTCCACAAAGATCTGTTGTTTGAAGGCTAGGTTGATTGGATATATTAATTTTCATTATAGAAGAAAGGCAATCTTGTTACAAAAGCATTGTCTGTTCTCATCAAGTGTTGAAGATTTTTGAAGTGTCATTTTTCCGCACTGGGCTTAGTACATCATAGTTGGAAAAGAATGCAGAGACCACACAATTCCTAGCAATTTACAAATGAATCGATTTAAGGATAATCCCAAGTAATGTATGTTGGAATAAAAATTTGCCCCAGTTCTTACCTACATAGTGTTTTTTTTTCCCCTACCCACATGACCTCCTTTGGTTTCTTTTACCATCCTCTGAAATGAAGTAATGTTTCCGTCCTATCTTTATAGTAACAAGCTATTCAGCTTATCAAATTTACTCTCTGCAAATTTCAACTGCTAAATTTTGCACAGTGTTTATGAATACTTTGGGGCCTTACTGATTTTAAAATCATTTTGACCAAAATATGTTTTTTGTCCCCTGTTATTTCTTTGCAAAAATGGGACAACAGATTGGACAATATTTTGTGTGGAATCTGTGATACCATGTTCATTTCTCTGTAATGGGCCATTTATTTGGAAAACTTCATGTGTAATTTTAAAAATAATTGTGAAACTAGCTTAAAAATGTATTTTTAAGTAATCACAGATCAGTTGGATGTTGTCCAGAAAGCATGCCAGGAGTTCTCCACCTGCCCTAGGCCCGCTTCCCCTCTGCGGTGGCAGTGTGCATAATTGCTGTGCGTGATCAGAGCACTCATACTGGAACATGCTCACAGTGTATGCTGATCCCAGCAGGCTGTGTGCACTCATTCCTATGTCGCTGTGTCTTTTTGTTTTTGAATTTTTTTGGGGGTGGGAGTGGGGGTGGATGTAGATTCCCAACCAGCTTCAGAACGATTCCGTTGCCACAGAGCTTTGTCATGCTTCTCGAGGGACACCCCTAACACATGCACACGATTTAAAGAACTGCTCTGTAGCAATTTATTTCTGTGAAATGGTATTCTGGATAACTATAAATATTAGCATTTTAAATAGGATATGTACATTTTTTACTTTACAAATATTGCTATAAAATGAAATAAGTAGCGTAGGTAAGCTGTAATATTATAACTTAGGTCTCATTACATTTGTTGACTTGAAGTAAACTAGACATAGTCCCGCTTTGTAGTCAGCCAGCTGCCCACATCATCGCGACTATTTGTCCAACGAAGTATTGTTAGCAAAAACTTAAACATCTTACTAGGGATTAGGACATTTAAAAATTTTAGAAGTATGAATTAAGAATATTTGAATTATAAATTTTAGAATTATGAATATTTGAATATGACAAATCTCCAGTTAGATGAAATATACTGTTTTAATTCTAATTTAGTTCATTTGACACTATACACTATAATTTTAAAGAACAAATCCCTTTATAGTTGAGATTAATATGACTCAGACTGGAAGGGATTTGAGGCATAGATAAAATACTTTATTGAGATGTGAGAGAATGCAGGCCTATGGGGGAAAAAATACTCCAGCAGGATCGCATTCGATTGTAATTGACTAGGTCCGAGCACTGGGGGCTTGGTCTGGCTCACTTTATGTTATGGAGTCAATATATAACATGTTGATATAGTTAGCAACATTTTTTGATTAAAGTTTTGATATTTGAAGCTTCAAAAATTAATAAAGAATCGTTTTTATGCTACATTAGGGTTCTCCCTAGATTACCTTCATGTTGGTCACTGAATATTCATGTAATGTTATCAAATTGGTAACTATGTATCCCCCCCAAAAAACCCAAAGAACCTTGTCGTTAAAGTTCTGTTTTCCATAAACTCCTTGAAGTGCTCCCCTTCTCTATTTCTCCATTTATTCTTTCATACTCGCTGTCAGCATTTTCTGAAAACTTTTCAGCTTTTTCTCCTCCTCGACTGTGTCCATGATAATTTAGTTCTTTTTCTGCCCTACCTGACGTATTTCTTTATCCTTGGTTGCAATTCCAGCTTGCACAGGAATTGGAGCTGTCTCGAAGGCTACTGACTCAGTCTGAAGGCAGCAGAGAGACTCTGCTGCAACAGGTAAGCCTGTGCAAGCCGTGAGAATGTGCCTCTGCATCCAGGCGAGGCTGAGGCTCCGCTATTAAATGCTTCTGTGAAAGGAAAAAAGAAAGTAGGTCTAGGCAAATCTTTCCTTAGGATTGTAGGTTAGCTTACGTAAGCATAACATGAACTCCTTTCAGGAAGATCCGGAGAAAGTACGAAACACCAGCGGAAGTTCCCACTGTGCCAGTGTGTTTCGCTGATTGTGGCTCCAAATACATACCTATCTCTGTTAGCAGGGGCGCTGTGAAAGTAAGACTGGTTGCATACGATAACATTTTCCCAGCAGCTTCATTTTATTCGAAGAGGCGCTGGAGGGAGACAGGAGGAAGTACAATACATAAAACAGACCTTTGCATCTACGGCTTATTCCGAGTATGTTTTTATCTTTCATTCAAATTTTCGTGATAAAACCTGGCCCTTTTTAGGCAGATAAGGCTTTATTTTTTGTCCTTTAGCCTGTAATGAGAGTTGAGTGTATTTGGTATTTAAAGGTCAGTGTCTCTGTGTGTGTGTTTATTTGGGATGGGACAGATGAATTTCTAAGTGCTTCACTCACTGTGTTTGATATATGCCATTGATTGCACCTTGCTGTGTTTTGAGGTGAGTATTATAGAATTTACCTTCCTAATATACTAGGTACACACAGATGTCAGGCTTCATAGGATTCCATTTTAACAGTTGCTGCTGAACCTAGAGTGTAGCATGTGTTTCATTAAACTTTTAAAAATGCTCCTGACTTTGTTCTGCAGCCAGCGGTCATGTGGCAGTAATGCTGGCAACGCTCAGACTTCCTTTTATTGAAAGTTTGTATTTGCTTCCATTCTGATTATTTTTTGGAGTTCTGACTTGTAATCTCTAATTTCAATTTTTGATGCAAGAAGAAATTTCTTTGTTCAGATTGTCGTTGTGGCTTTAGCTGATGATTCTGCACTACTAATTGTGAGATGGTTAGCAGAAAAGCAGTACTATGTGTTAGGAGGCAATATGCTAGTCTTTACAAGAATCAAGAGAAAGAAAATAGCTCCTGACTTCAGGAGTTGATGGTTTATGCAAAAGTATTATTTCTTGTTTGTTTTGAGCACTATTTTGGTAGAGTTGAGCTAAATCATGATAATTTTACGTGAGTTTAACAACCAGTGGTTCGGATTTCCATGAAAGAAAATGGATGAAAATATACAAACATAGTACTTAATTGGAGTGGTTTAGATTAGTAAAAGTATAGTGACTTGAGTCAAAATAAAGAATTTCAAAAACTGTAGTCTAATGATTTGTCACAGGGGTCAAGACATTTTTTGACACCTGAAACAATGAAGAATTGGTCTAGGAGACTGTTTTGCTGTGTTTGGTATATAGCAAGGAGATTAATTTAGCTTCAACTTGTATTTATAGTAACCCACTAGAAGTAGAATTCATCCCCAGGCAAGTATTGTTAACAGTTTTTGAACTGAACTATTTTTTTCCAGTTCTTTTTTTTTTGATACCTGATAAAAGCTTGATTTTTTTTTTTTTTTTAACTAATTGTCCCTAGGTCCAGGAGCTGCGAACACAGTTAACGAAAGCAGAAGGCGATCGGAAAGGTTTACAGCATCCAGCATCTCAGGTTGCCAGGCAGTCGAGCCATCAGGATGAGCAAGGAGATGACTGGAAGTTTAGAAGAGGTATAATTCTGATTTATTAGTGTGTGCTTTTCCCATTCTCTGAGTTGTGCTCCTTATTTTATGTTTATGTCATCTTGTTTCTTGATTTACTACTGAGTGTTCCCGGATGTTGATTTGAATTTAGCATCCAGGCTTAATGCCATGTCTGTCTGATTTTTAAAGTCATTCCAGTTATTAGACTTGCTTGTCTCCTGGGGCTCTCAGAGCCTGCAAAGGCAGTGCTGGAGATTTTTCCAGTTTACCATGCCTTCAGTGTGAATACACTTGTAGAAACTTGTCCTCATATTTAAATTGTAAGCATAGTTCCTTTTTTTTTTCATTTTGTTTTGTCCTAGTATGCAATATGTGAACAATTGAATTAAGATCCTGCTTTTTTAAAAAGAGTTACTTATTTTTATTTGGAAGATAGAGTTACAGAAAAAGAGGCAGAGATAGATAGAGTGGGAGATCTTTGATCTGCCTGCCCACTCCCCAAAGGGCCATAGGGAGCTAGATCAGAAATGGAACAGCCGGAAGTTGAATCAGTGCCCACATAGGATGCTCTTGCTACAGGCAGAAGTTTAATCTGTGCCGTGGCGCTAGTCCCAAGATCCCTTTGTTTGCTTGTTTTTAAATTGTTTGTTTGAAAGGAATAGTTACATTGGGGCGAAGGAAAGAGAGAAGAGTGTTATTTCCCTTCTGCTGGTTTACTCCTCAGCTGGCCAAAGTAGCAAAGTAGCAGGGGCTGGGTTTGGGTCAAACTAAAGCCTCCTGCAATGAACACTGTGCAGTTCTCTCACATGGGTGGCATGAGCCTGCACACGGAAGCCAACACCTGCCACCTCCCATGTACATTACCAAGAAACGTGACTGGAAATGTGTAACGGACAGGGCTTGAATTGACACTCTGATCTGGGATGTGGGAGTTCCATAGGTGACATAATGTGCTGTGCTGCAACACTTGCTTAATACAGCATTCAGTCAATTTCAATTAACTATTATAGTTTAAATATCCCTTTTATAGCAAATATCAGTTATTTATATAGACAATTTTGAGCTGTTAGGTTATTCATAAAATATAGTTACTTTGGTTATGTAAGTTTCTCAGGACTAGAAGCATCTAGCCTTTCTTAATTGGTAAACTAATAAGCTCATGGAAAGCTCTGTGATTAATGTAATAATGAACTTTTTTTGACCTCTTTTATCTGTTCTAGGATTTTCCAGTTTTAGCTGGTACTTTCATTAATTAAAGACAATTGTGTATTTGATAACTATAAAAGGAGTTCTTTGCTGTATTGGTAGTCTCCTGGTCAAATTCAAAGGAACTTCTTTTCCCTAGCTCTGTGTCCTTGGTTCATTTTGCTCATTGACTTCCATGTCTGTCCCTTTCTGCTGCTTCTGCTGTAGTTATTTTCATTCCTTTTATTTGAATCTCTTTTCTTTGTTGACAGTTTAAAATGTTAATTTTGCCAAGTTCCTGTTCACAGATTTCTTAACATTTCTCCTGAGTGTTTTGTTTTTTAATTGTATGCTGTAATTATCACCTGCCAGTGACAATATTTTGTTCTTCCTGCATTCAGCCTTTTGGTGGAATTGCTCAGCAGAATTCATCCCCTCTTCACAATGTTTTTCTTTTCCAATATCAATGGGTAAAATCTTCCTCTGTCTATACGTTCTGCTCTAAAATTTGTGAAACTTCTAATTTACTACTTCTCTATCTCCTTAGCCCTTCCATGCTGTCTGCTTGTGCAATCCTGTAACTTTTTTTTCATTTCTTACCTTACTGTCCCAATGTAAACATGCCTCGTTTCACCCATATTATCCTTTGTCTTGCCATATTTTTCCTCCTCTGCTTTGTATCCTGCACTTCTAACATACAAACTGATTGTGTTAGTCTTTTGAGTAAAATGCTTCACTACAAAACTTGTTTTCTGAGATACTCTGCAGGTAGTTAGAAGTGATTAGGTGCAGTTTTAACACAGACTACCTATGATCAAACCTTAGCTCTAATACCTCTTATTTGTGTGACCTGAAACCAGTTATATAATCTTTGTGCCTTCATTTTTGCCTCTTAGAAATATGGACAGGGCCTGGCACGATAGCATAGCGGTTATGGTCCTCACCTTGAATGCACCAGGATCCCATATGGGCACTGGTTTTAATCCTGGCGGCCCTGCTTCCCATCTAGCCTCCTGTTTGTGGCCTGGGAAAGCAGTCGAGGATGGCCCAAAGCCTTGGGACCCTGCACCCACGTGGGAGACCAGGAAGAGCTCCTGGCTCCTGGCTTGGGATGGGCTCAGCTCCAGCCGTTGCAGCCACTTGGGGAGTGAACCTTTGGAGAGAAGATCATCCTCTCTGTCTTTCCTCCTCTGTATATCCGCCTTTAACAACAAAGAACAACAACAACAAAAAAGAAAATTAATATGGACAGTAGGAATAGTCACTGCTGGATTGTTTTGGGGAGAGAATAATATAACGTGGGAAGCACCAAGCCCTGTGCCTATCTCATAGTAAACACTCCTTGTGTGTTGGCTGATAGATGCCGTCATATCCTGAAGTATCAGTTTCGTGAACACTGAATCCTTGTTGTTTTGTGTGTAAGAATAGTTTCAACATGAACTTCGGAAGGTCTGTTCAGACCATTGAACAGACACCAATCTTTCCTACTCCAAACTTGAGCTTTCAGTTGCCATACTGACTCAAGCATTCTGAGGTCGGAGGCAATTCTTTGGATATGGGAAGAGAGCATTTGCAATTTTATTTTGAAAGATACATTTATTATACATTGAAAAGTCAGATATATAGAGAGAGGAGGAGAGTGAAAGAGGGGAAGATTTTCCTTCCTATGATTCACTCCCCAAGTGACTGCAGTGGCCTATCCGAAGCCTATCTGAAGCCAGGAGCTTCTTCTGGGTCTCCTGTGTGGATGCAGGGTCACAAGGCTTTGGGGCATCCTTGACTGCTTTCCCAGGCCACAAGCAGGGAGCTGAATAGGAAACAAGATGGCCAGAATTAAAATTGGCACCCATATGGGATCCTGGCTTATTCAAGAAGAGGACTTTAGCTGCTAGGCTACCGTGCTAGGCCTTGCAATTTTATTTCTATTTTAATCTTTACTTTGAAAAAGTTTCAAAATATATGATACACGTTTATATAGATGTAAAATATATTTATACTAGTATTTCATCTGTGTATTATAAAACATACCAAAATATTTTGTTTCATTGTACCAAATATATACATGTTCCATTAAGTGAACATATGTATGTGTGCACATTTGTGCTTCTATAGATCATGCAATGTTTATATATATCTTGCTGCTTTTTGAGATTTATTTATTGGAAAAGTAGAGTTAGAGAAAGTGAAATACAGAGAGCTATCTTCATCTGCTGCTTCACTCCCCAAGTAGCCTCAATGGCCAGTGCTCAACCAACCCCAAGCCAGGAGCCAGGAGCCAGGAGCCAGGATCTTCCTCTAGGTCTCACACGTAGGTGTAAGCCACCCAAGGACTTGATCCATCTTCTGCTGCTTCCCCAGGCATGTTATCATGGAGCTAGATTGGAAATGGAGCAGCTGGGATTAGAACCAGCATTCGCAATTGACAGTAACCCACACTAAGATAACACTGGCCCTTATGTATAATGTATATAAATATCCACATATATTTATAAAATTTATATTATATGCAAATATAGTGCCTATAATATATGCACAAATGTATGTATATATTGTGAAGCATGTATTTGTATCTGCCACTGAGACATACATTATAAACATGCATATAAAAATATGTATTTACAAATACTAATTTTTATAAAATTTTTAAATATATGTTTATAGACTGGATACATTTATGTGTGAACAACTAAATGTATTTTTAGTTGGGAGATCTAGTGTGAGTTGGTGAGTAGGACCCCTAGACCAAATGAAGACTTCTACCTGTTTTTGAAAAGAAGCTTTATTGAAAAACAGCTATTTCTTTTAATTTACACATTGCTAGGTCTTTTTCCACAACACAGTGCCAGAATGAATAGTTGTCACATAGATCTTAGAGCTGAAATGTCTGTTTTCTAACCCCGTGTACAATATGAACTCTGTAGGATACATTTAGAGTTCCCTCCCAGCACAGACTCCCTGTTCTCTCTCTTTCCATCCGCACGCTCCGTGTGTTGGCTCTCTGGAACTACTGTGTGTATACTTACTTGACATTGAATTCAGTTTTGTACCCTCATCCTTTATGCTTTTCCACATCCCTAAATTAACATTTGGACTCCATAGCCTTTGCTTGGGGAAATTTTGTGTTTATTCTTTAAGGATATTCGTTTCCTTGCTCTTTCCCTAGTTTCTGACCAAGATTCAGTTAATTATTCTGTTACATTATTAGCGTTTCTATAGATGCTCAGGCCGTTCGGTGTTTATCAAGCTGTTTTAATGCTTGTCTATTTGTTACAGAGTGCATAAACTTGATTGCTTTAACTATTTATTTCTGACCTTAGGATATATTTTATGGATGATGTACACATGCTTTGGTTGTGTTTTCTTCTTCCTCTTCTTCAGTTTTCTGGAAAGGAAACTTCTAGAAGAAACATGTTTATAAATTGATAATTTTATATTCCAGTTGTTACTTTATTGTTGAGGAATAACTTCTTTGCTGTGGCTTGGCTGCGTTTCTAGAATGCAAACTCTGTGGGTGCTTCCTTGTCCACCCTTGAATTTGAAGAGCGTGTGGAACACACAGCTAGTGTTCCCTGGGGATTGAAATGCTTGGTTACCTCAATTTGTTCAGTGATCTCATTTTGGTCATAGCCTTTCAGATTATTGGTGATCATGCACACTCAGAAAGCCATCAGTATCTCTTGTTGGTTATTTGGCAAGAAGAACATTTTGTGACGGAATTCTCTGAGACTTCACCCAGGGAGAGTGGTTTGGGTGAACATGTCTGCAGTGTTTTTGTTTTTCAGGTAATATAAAAATATGAGGAGAATTTAATATGTGTATGATTTTCCTGAAATACATCTACTAGGAGTCGGATAAATTATAATCTCAAAGTATAATTGGCAGCAATCAAAAACTTTGTGGCACTTGAAACGATAGACTCAAAATCTGAAAAGACTAAAATGAGAGCATCTATTGAATCACGTTGGCTAGACTATTAAAGCGACAGGGCTCAGTGTCATTTGGAAGTGTATTTTCCTTTAACTTCAGGATGACTATTGACCTTCATATTCTCTCTCTTAAGGAGTGGAGCGGGAAAAACAGGATATGCAGAAGCAGATGTCGGATTTTAGAGTGCAGCTGAACCTGAGCACCATGGCGTCTGAGTTGGAGGAGGTGAAGCGGTGCGTGGAGCGCAAGGACAAGGAGAAAGCGCACTTGTCAGCCCAAGTCCAGGTGAGCGTGCTGTGCTCAGACCCTCCCGGGAAGAGTTAGCTCTGTTCGAACGTCGTAAGGAATTGTAATATAAATATGTTGTTTTTTTGAACTTTAAGTTTTGATAAGTAGGTATATGTTAAGGAATAATTTGCTAAGATCTAGACATTTCTGTGGACTCAGTGTCGTTGTGTTTGGGTCCCGTGGCTAGGGGCTTGGAGTGTTGCAGAGTGCAAGACAGATGCAACTAAGTATGTGTTAATGAATAATTTACCAACACAGAAACATTCCTGGGGATTCAGATTTCTTGTTTTGGGGTCCCTCAAGTTAGGGGCTTAGATTTGTCTCCTGTGTCATTTTGAAATCCTTGTCTATTATTAAGCTGCAAAATATTTTCCATTGTAGTAACTGCTAAGCCTTTCCTTCGCACAGAAACTTTTCTTCTGTGAGAGCGACAACAGTGGATTATCATTTATTTTGGGGGGGTGGAATGGGCAGAAACTATTGTGACAGGGAAACTTTGGATACTTCTTTTATTGGAACTGCAGAGGTTTTCAAATCTCGGCTTGTCCGGCATCAGTTAGTGTTGTGCTGCTGTCATGCATTTAAAGTTGTGTAGTTATTGTCCCGTGTGACACAGAGCCCATAAACGGAGCTAGGCAGCTAGCATTTCTGCTTGCCTTTTAGCCAGCCTGGATGAGGTGATTATTAAAATTTATTAAAAATCAAAGGACAGGACCTCATAAAAGGAAATGGCTTAACGCCAATATAATTATGCAAATTGGATCAAATATGGGTGACACATTAGCAAAATAGATATGTATCAGTGTGCCCCTGTATCTGTTTTTATTAGTGCAGTTGTGTTTTAACTGTAATAAATTTGAACATTTGAAAGTTTTAAAAAATTAAAATGAAATGTACAAAATTAGCGTTAAGCACCTAAGTTAATGTAACCCAGAGGAAATATTAATGTTACTGCAGCCTAAGTTTCTCTTTCATCTTATCAGCATGTCAATAGAAAATATCTTATAGATTTGCTTCAAGATTCATCTTATAAAGGTAATGAAATACAGGCATACTGCTCGTAAAACCCTTTAGGTGTTTAGTAAATACTTAGAATAGCCTCGGTGCAGAAGTAATTATATCCTTTTAAATTCTGTTTCATGGGTATTATCTTAGCGCTTGATCCTGCTGATGAAAGTACTAAATATGACTATTTTGCAGAAGTCTTTTTTTTTCAAAGTTATGCTAATACGTACTAAAGAGAGAGAAACCTCTTTGCCAGCTGTTCATGTCATCTGTTGATCCTCTGTCTCTTCGTTTCTTATCTTTCCTTCTTTCCCATTGTTGGTTCCCACTTGACCACTTTTGGTGCACAGTGGAAGGAAGAAAACTGTTTCATTCATGTGGGCAGTGAAACAGTTTGTGGGAGAAGCCTAGCATGGCTCACATTCAAGAAGCTTGCTTTTCTCCCTGTTCCAACTTAATAGCCCTGTCACATTGTCCCCTAAGTTAGGGAAGAGTTTGTGTTGTCTTGAGTCAATTCGGACTCGTTGTACAGGATTCGAACATGAAAAACAGTTGGAGAGAGAGGATTTTACTTACACATCCGATGTTAGGGTGAGTTCACTTATGTCCCAGGCACTGTGCTAGATGCTGAGCAAACATCCTGTCCCTTTGCTTTCTCTTGCAGTTGACATTGTGTAATTAATGCGGACACTTGTGTCTTACTCCTAAAGGCAAATTTCTTTTGTACAAACAAAATTTTTTTTCCTCACGTGCTATTAAAAACAAAGAGGCAGCATTCACCCCTGGTAGATATTACCTTAAACCAGGTGCATTTGTTCACGTGGGAGAGTGTGAGCTTTAGTTCACGGATCCTCTCTCCAGATGCCCCTGGTAGCCAGGTGTAAGCTGGGAACCAGAAGCTGAAGGAGAAACGGAGCCCACGCTCAACCCTGGGCCCACTGAGGTGGACTGTGGGCGGGGAGCCGCTACACTGAGGGGCTGTTGCAAATCAATTTGACTTCTTCCTATTTTCTTATTGTTATAAGGAAAATAGCCAGGGCCTAATGGGATTGCTCAGTTGGCTAATTCTCTCCTTACAAGTGCTGGGATCCCATATGGGCACTGGATTTTGTCCCGCCTGCTCCACTTCTCATCCAGCTTCCTCCATATGTTCTGGCAAAACAGTGGAAGATGGCCCAATGCCTTGGGACCCTGAGCCACATGGGAGACGCGGAAGAAGCTTCTGGCTTCAGATACAGTCATTTCTGGCCATTGCAGCCATGTGGGAAGTGAACCAGTCAATGGAAGATCTTTTATCCTATCTCTGCTTCTCTGTAAATCTGCCTTTCCAATAAAATATAAGCACATCTTTAAAAAAAGATGAAAATTTTAAAAAATATAAAGAAAAAATAAGGTTGTGTATATCAGCATTGGCGCAAATATAGTTTTGTGAAGCTTTGTTTTATACCTTTGACCAATGGTAAGAGTGTTGTACTGGGGCCAGTACTGGGGCAAAGCGAGTGGGCCACTGCCTGTAGTACTGTCATCGCATATGAACACCCGAATCTCTGCTGTTGTACTTCAAATCCAGTTTGTCCCTAGGAAAGTAGTGGAAGATGGCCCAAGAGCCCGGGCCTCTGTGCCCATGTGGGAGCCCTGCAGGAGGCTTCTGCCTTCTGGCTTTGGACTGGCCAGCCTCTGGCTCGTATGGCCATTTAGGGAATGGACCAGCAGCTAGAGAACCTCTTTCTGTCCTCCCACTCTTGCATTGTAATTCTGCTTTCAACTAAATAGCAGTAAATCTGTAAAAAAAAAAAAAGGTATTACTGTAGTTTTATGAACTGTTTACTTAAAGATTTGCTGTGTACATGAGTGAAAAAAAGTTAAAATTTCAAAAAAATAGCAACTTGATTAGGTATGTATCGGTTTTACATGTGGTGGCACTCGTGATTATGCCTTGTTTTTTCATATGTTGTAGAGATTGTTTGAATATCTTTATTCCCAAGTTTACTCGGAGTGCTTCCTAGTGCAGAGTTTGGAAAAGAAACAGATTGGGAATTGCTCAGTTTGAGCTCTTATTGCTCAGAATTTTCTTGAAGTTGAACTGATTATGATTGAATTTCTGGCTTCCTTTCAGAAAGTATCAGATTAGGTATGAGGCTATTGCCATATACATTCTGTGAAAAATGAAGAGTTGCTTTATAGAAATCAATTATTAATTTTTAAATTGCATGAAAATGAGATTATTGGTCATCTCCTAGAATGGTTGCTGTCATCTTTTTTTTTTTCCAAAAGATCTGTTTTATTTATCTATTTTTTTCCTTAAAGATTTATTTAGTTATTTGAGAGGCAGAGTGACGGAGGAGAGTGAAATCTTTTGTCTGCTGGTTTACTCCCCAAATGACTCCAGGCCAGTTGTAAGCCAGGAGCCAGGAGCTTCAGCCATGTCTCCTACGCAGGTGCAGGGGCCCAAGTGTTTAGGCTCTCTTCCACTTTGTTTCCCAGTTGTGTTAGCAGAGAGGTGGATTAGAAGTGGGGCAGCTGGGATTGCAGCCGGTACTGATACAGGAAACTGGAATTGCAGACAACTGTGGCAGACCCTGGCTCCATATCTTTCTTTTTAAGCTAGATTCTGGCGATTCTTGCTTAGAACTTCCTACATCATCTTAGCAGAGGATTCATTTCCACCCACCCCCCCAAAAAAAAACTGTCTGATTTCTGTCTTTTTTTTTTTTTGGCCTTTATTCCAATTGTTCTGTTTCTGTATTATCTTTCTGAGGAGTCCCAAAGTGTGCTCCTTGAAACCTCTGTGAGTTATACTAGCCTTAAATGATTTCTTTTTGTCTTCATCATTAAGATTCTTGTGGCATCTTAATCATACTGTCTCAAAGTGAAATTGGTATGTCTTTCAGATTTAAACAGCTAACAATAAAGTTGCAAAATAACAGCTGGAGAGAACCAGCTGCCCTGTTACCAAGACAAACTTGACTCTTACGTCGTGTTTTAAGTCCTCACATCTGAAAACTTGTGCTCCCTGTGTCCTAGAGTTAATGTGACCCTGGAACATGGCTCATGATAGTAAAACCCCTAAGACAGCAGTATTGGAGCATCGGTTGTGGAAGTAGCTACAGGCCTGCTGAATGGATACGGAAACACTATTTTCTTGTACATATGGCTAGTCTCCCATTTTTAAAATACTTAGGTTTTAGAATTAATAACCAAATCTTGGTGGAAGCAGAAACAGAATCCTTTCGTGTAAAGATCTGCTTGTGCAGAGCTGCAGCAAGGCTCCCCGTCTGCCCACCTCTGTGTGATGCACTGCTCGTTTACTTCCTTGTTGGTCCAACAGCCTTCCCCAGTGCTTGCACTCTGAGCTCAGTCTCACGTTTTGTGTTTTCTTTTAATGTGTTGTTGTGCACAGACTTGGCTCTTGGCATTGATATTATTCTAATTGTGACCATCTGGGAGCCACCAAGGTACGAATTAAAGGCATCTGTCCTTTTTTGGATACTAAGTGAATATGTGTTAAAAACCAGGCATTCTCTATCACCCGATGTTCCCTCACAATGTCTTATCTGTAGTAGGTACTAATGTAATATGGTAATTATCTTTATTTTAAATTTTTTTATTTTTTGATTATTTTTGCATAGTTGATTAGGGTGATAAGGGTCAAGGGCTATAGGAAGGTAGATGGGATCACCTTTTTCAAATTCTCTTTTTTCCTTCCTGTATCTGGGGGAAGGGAGAGGATTAGGAGAGAAGCGACACCCAGCCTCCCAAATGCCTCTGTGGCCTGGGTCCAGCCACCCCACACCCCAGGGTCCCTAATGCTCTGAGGGTCCTGCTCAAGAGGTTTTGTTAATTCAATAGTTCTGAATTACTGCCGATCTCACCTCTCCAAGCACGATAAAATCTCTCCAGAATCCTCGGTTGACATTGTCCACCTTAGAGTCTCCATTTGCTCAGATTTACTGCCAACACTTGTCTTTGGTAGTTGATCGATTTGTTCTGTC